ATGTTGTTGTTACTATTTGTGGTTTATCCATTGGCTATGATCACTAATAGATCAGTTCTATAAATATCACGGTAATTAGATATATGCTGTTAATGCAATTTCTTTAAGGCAGGGTTTTTTAACTTGTGGTCCATGCTAAGGGGTCCTTGTAATGAACGCCGGAGGTCTATGGCGAGTTTACCTAACGTATTGCAGCGAGCGAGTGACGCAACTCGCGAGCCTTTCTTCTTCTTCATCTTTTTGGAAAGGATCCGTGAGCTCTTTGAATTTTTGAGAGGGGTCCATGACTAGACAAATGTTAAGAAACCTTGCCTTAATGTATACTTTGCATTAGTTAAAACAGACATTGTGAAAAGCATTAATCTGTTTTAAAATTCAACGTTTGTTTTCATTCATTTTGTTGTATTATCAGTGTTGCCAGGGCCCTTGAGTCGAAAATTACATTTCGTTACCAGAAAAGTTACATTTTGGCTGCAAAAGTTACATTTTACAAATTCGTTTTTATTTTATTAAAATTTGTAACTGTAGAAGATGTGTATACCTACGCCTAAATCCTAAAAACAAAAATTGTCCGCTCTAGAAAAATGAAGCTATAACCAGTAATTTTATTAATTTCGTTTCATTTCCGCCATCTCTGATTACTTTATAGAAATGTAACCATCTGGCAACACTGCGTAACTGCGACATAAGTCCACCACCAGTCTGTAGTATACAAGTATAATCTAATTCGTTGATATTCTTTTGTCTAAGTAGTTTTTCGATGGTTATTCATCGTGTTGATACTGCATGGTTTTTTTTTTCAATTTTTTTGTTTTTTTTTGAGCGAACACATCTCGTCGTTTAGTTACTTTCATTTATCATTTTGAGATCTTGAAGTTTCGTTCGATCGTTTTTTGTTTTGAATTAGATACTAGACTTCTGGCTTAATTTTATTGCAAAAACAAGACACCATTTGTATATAAAGGTGAAGTTGGATTTGCATTTGTCTGACGTGTCGTGACGCATCACAACGATATCGGTTTCATACATTTAATATGGTTAGATTTATATTAGAGTGTCGCAATCTGACGTGACGGCTTGTGTTGTGTGCATGAAACGGATACCGTTCTGACGCGTCACGACACGACACGTGTAAATCCGTTTTAAATTTGTAAAACTCTACCAACCTCACTAGTCCATATTACTAACATCATAAACAACAACGTTGTTCTATGACTTTCAATAATTCATCGGATTATACTTTTATCTGAAATATAAAAATACTTATCAAGTAGATCAAATTTTTATTGAATAGCTATTCAATTATTTCTTTGTGAAATTACTCCACTACGTCTTCTAGCAAACCGTGGCAGACGCAATGCCAACTAAGACACGGACCGAACCAGTGGACCTCACGAATTTTTCTATGCGCTTATTGTCGTATCTTTGTATTTGGTTTTTCAACGACTTTTTAGCAGTAGCGCATTTCTCATAGATGGCGCTACGGCTAAAAAGTCGTCCCGTGGCTTAGTTGGCATAGCATCTGGCACGGTTTGCTAGAAGACGTCGGTTCGAATGCGGCCAGATCGAAGGAATCTTTTCGAAGTGTTCGATCTTTGCATTGATAATTATATCAAATAGATCACTCTAAATGGGCTACAAAAGAAAGTGGGAGTCGTCGCTTGTACGTTTAACCTTAATACTATACTGTCAAATACAGTTAAAAATTGTCAGATAGTATAACAAAAACTTGAAACTTTAATTTTGGTACACATAAAAAGCACGGTTATAAAAAGTCATGGAACAAAAATTGTTATTTATGATGTTAGTAATATGGTCCTGCAAGGTTTTTAGTAGTTTAAAAATAGCCCTGTATACATATGCAAAATTGTACAACAATCTTTATGTAGTACCTAGATATGAAAATATATTTTCGAGTGTAAATGGCGTATATATTTTTTGAAACAAAGCAATTATTTGTGTTCTTGTATAATACACGAACCAACCTCAAACTTTTGTGGAATTACATCTATTTGCCAAGTTTTATCGAAATCAATTAATGGAATGTGGGTGAAATACAGTTAACCGGATTCAACCCCTAATTTAACGCCCTTAGAGATGGAATATTTTCTTCAAATTTGAATAGTACCACTACTGAGGTAGGTACCTGAATCATTGAAATCGGTTCACAAATTTCGAAGTAACATACACAAAAAAATACAGTCTAATTCACCTTCTCCTTGTTTTGAAGTCGGTTAAAAATGGTTTCATTTCCTATGTGTAACAATCGCGAAAAATTAAAAGCTTTATTATATTCGTTTTGACAATTCATTATCTGTTCATTGTACGCACGGCTATACTTTGAACCCTCGTCATGTTCTTTCAATACACAAGAATTGTCTACTGACACAAAACCATTGACCCCTTTTACACACTCACTCTACCCTCTATGATCAGAAGCGTACAGGATTGCGCGCGGAAAAGCCTGCACGCGCAATCGGGCGCCATCACCTGTTTGAAGTTTTTTAAGCTAACGTTCTCGGAAGAGCGTCCGTGTAAAAGGCAACTTTGGAACGAACGATTGTACGCGCGACTGGTGAGTGCAATCGCGCAATCTTTTCCTTCCAACATCTTTACACGCGCGCTCAATCGTGCACAATTGCTGTATCGCGCAATGACGAGTGTCAGTATAAAAGCCTCTATAGTCGTCAAATGTTAAAGTTGCGTTGGGAAGCGCTGCAGTCGCACTACCACTAATTTTCATACAATATTTAGAAGCGCAGTTGCAACCCCACGGTCTGTGAGTGAACTATAAATTACTAAAGCGCTACAGACGCGCGGCTGCGGCGTTTCTTAATTTGAAGATGCTTTAATATTAAGGGTCAAACCTACAGGCCTATCGCTTAACTGAGTCGGTTCCTGAGGTAGCTGCGCAGTGCGGGAGGAGTGACAGAATACGTAACAGTTATATCGCGCTGCACACGGGATAATTCCAACAAAATTTTTCTAACGATATTTATTAAAAAGTTGATTGAAATATCCCACTACAGAGTACTAAAAAAATCGACCTCAAAAGTCATTCTTCTCCTACTTTGCCACCTTTAGAGGTGGAATATTTCATTCAAATTTAAATGGGACCACTACTGAGGTTACCCTCCTTACAACAAAAAAAGAATCATCAAAATCGGTTCACAAATGTTATCGCGCTACGCAGTCAAATTGAGAACTTCCTCCTTTTTTGAAGTCGGTTAAAAAGTGCCAAATGGCTTGTCTATTCATTTCAATTATCTATGAATTTTTATTATCCTTTTATATAACAACAATTGACTAATTTGGTAGGCAGTTTTTCCAATCAACTTGCTATTGAATATCGTTAGAAAAATCTTGTTGAAATTGTCCCGTGTGCAGCACGATATAACTGTCACGTAAACTGTCACTCCCCCCGCACCGCGCAGCTACCTCAGGAGCCGACTCTGTTAAGCGGTAAGCCTGTAACTTGCCAGCCTGTTGACAGTTTTTTTTGTAAAATATATTGTCAAATATACTGTCAAATTGTTATCACGGGATTCTCAGGTGTTTCTCAATTTGTCCACGCTGCTCGGACAGACGTACACTCGGCTACATGTCTGCGAAGTGGTCAACAATCAACCTTGTTGCCCTCCACAACAGGTTAGTTTTCGTTTGTGTCTTCGACGTGCTATGTGCTCCTGACACAATTGCTTGGCTGTGTAGATATGTGATCTGACGGAGAGAGATAATATGTGTCGGTAGTTTCTAACTACTACTTATACTCTTTCCGTAACATATACATATTCGGTATAGTTAGCGGGCTGTAATGCCGAAATAATTTATTGTCGTTGGTGTTTAAAAGTATTGTGTGGCTTAGTTAACAACAGATGAAGCAGTTTTTCACGGGTTTCTTTTATTTTTAGTTCTTTATTTGTACGTAGGTACAGTGTATTGACTTATTTATTTTAATATCTTCTGCATGGTTGTTCAGTTTGTATTTTTCTCATATGTATCGATTAAATTCCATATTATTTTGATTTTCATCGATTCATTTTTCTCAGCTTTAGTGCCGCTTTCAACAAATTAAAATTGGCTGTTATCGATGATTTTGTTTTCGATGTTAATCAAACACTAGTCTCGTTTACTTTGTGGCTATCGAGCACCAGTAATAACAGAATAGCATAAACCAATGCAACAGTGGTTAGCACCAACCAAAAGAAAAGAATTTTCAAGGCCTCCGGACATTTCTGTGGATAGAGAGACAAAAAATCTAATAGGGACATGGCAACCAATGTAGACGCGGTCTCATTACACTTATCGACACGAAATCGCATTGAGAGCGATGCCACAAACTGCGTTGCGTTGTACTACTAAATATAAATCACAACGACATATCACACGGTACTTTGAAACGGCGCGCTACCGTAGACAACTTAGAATGATACCACACGGGCGCTGCCAATGCGTTACGTTGCGTCGTTTCAACGTAACGCCGCCGCTCACTTACGCAATGCAAAAATCCTCCCTGCTTCGTCTCCTGGCCCCGTGTATATGGCATGTACTTCTAATTTTTATTTAATACAACGCAGCGTCACCATTGCAAAACGATGCATTGCGTCGCAACGTCGAAACAACGCATCGTTTGGCATCTCTCTAAACCGATGAGAAAAAACTACACATCCATGTTGTAAGAGCGAAAAGTACGTCCTGCGTTTCTGCGTCAACGGTGCGAGAGTAAGCGAATCGTGCAACGTCTTTTTAGCTCTTATTATCTGGACGTTAAAATTTTTCTGGCTCAAGCCGATTTCGTGTTAGTTATCGTGGTAAATCCCTTAGACGATCCACAGTACAGTCTTTGGCAGCATCTTGGGTCTGCACCTCGAGATCCGGTTCTTGAAGAAAGATTATTTCACTATTTTTTATCACCTATTTAATTTCTAGAGAAGTTGAATAGACAATACTAGTTTAAATAATTGTTATATATAAACTAATTTAGACCATTAAATGTACAGGTCAACCGGCACGTGAACGATCTGTTCGAAGACCTGCGCGATGGACTCAACCTCATTTCGCTGCTGGAGGTGCTTTCTGGCGAACATCTCGTGAGTATATGCAATTTTAATCTTATTTTTTGCTTAAGAATGGGATATTAATGGGACTGTTGTACAACAAAGTGTTCGATTTGTATAGTAATATGAATAAGTACGATAGGCAAGTGAAAAAAAATGTATTGACATAGTGTTGAATCTATATTTTCAAAACGTTTATTAGCAGTAAGCTCCTTGCGAAAGAGTTCGTCCAGAGAAGTACTGCCTTATCTATTTCTGTCGCCAAGCAGTAATGCGAGCATTACTGTGTTCCGATTTTGAAGGGTAAAGATGTTGGAAAAATTACCATGGCACATGGGACTTGTCAACTTATATCTCAGGGCGACAGGCGCAGAATGTTATGAATAGGCGTTACCACCAGCACGACTTGTTCGTCCCGTAACTTGGTATCATAAAATAAAATAAACAGCACTGGTTATTTACCCAAAGAGTGGTTACTTAAAAGTTTTCCAAAAAAACTCTGATTAGCGAGCGAAGCAGACGTTTGAAACCTCTGGTTTCTGCTAAAGGGTAATAGATATTCATATCTGGATTCGAATTTAATTTGATACTAGAAAAAAATCCTTGAAAAAATTTTGATAAATCGAGATTGTAAATCGACGAGTAGTATCGATAATTTCCTAATAAAATGAGATATTGTGATATAACTTTTATGAACACGGTTCTTTAATTAGTCACAACGTGTAATGTTTCAAAAAAAATGGCTGACCTGTATTGAAATCAAGTAACTTATAATAAAAAAAGCAACTGCAAAAAATCGACTGCGTAAAAAACCGAAAAAAAAAACAATAATGCTGATGGAGGAATGCTAAATGTATCATCTCGTCGTCATGGAATATCTCGTTAAGATCTTTAATTTAATAGCTATATAGGCGTTTCAAAACTAAAAGAAGTCCGATAAAAGGCCGCGCAGCCTCCGCCATCTTGATTTTTTGGCATAAAATGCGCATCTTCTTAGAACCGAGACACATCTAACGATAGCCACAGTGTAGGCTATGGGATCAGCGTACATTTTTCGGATCTAAATCCTTGTAATAAAAGTGGAAAAGACGTGAGTTTGATACAAAACTTGCAACATCTTTTTCGTATGTGACCTTTTTCTGAACCGCTATGTACGATTTCTCTCGATAAGTGTGGTTTTCACTGTTGACCCTGGAGAAAAAGATCTCGGATTGGAATTGTCCTAAGTTGGTTCTGATGTGTATTCAAGGTATAGTGTAGAAAATTCCCTAGTCTGAAACCAGGTAATTAGTGAGGTTTTACGCTTTGACATTATGAAGTCTAATTTAATTTGTATTGAATTGATATTCAATTATTTTGTGTGAAATTGCTCCACTAGTTTGTTATTAATACGAAGATTGAAGACTTGTAAAAATTCCTTCGAAATACTTTCATAGACTTCTCATAGATCTCGCTACGGCTAAAAGTCATTGAAAACCAAATACAAAAATCCGGCTGGTTCGTTCTGTGACTTAGTTGGCATAGCGTCCGGCACGGTTTGCTAGAAGACGTCGGTTCGAATTCGGCCGGATCGAAGGATTTTTTTCTAAGTGTTTTATCTTTGTATTACTAATTATTATAAAATCTAATCTAGATTAAAAATAACCGACCTCAAAAGCCAAATTTTGCTGTAATCGTTTGCCGGAAAGTGCGCGAAACCGGATTCATCCCCTAATTTGCCACCTTTAGAGGTGGAATATTTCCTTCAAATTTAAATGTAATCAATCAATACTGAGATACCCTCGTTGCACCAAAAAAGAATCATCAAAATCAGTTCACAAATGCCGTAATCAAAGTCAAAGTCAAAGAATCATTTATTCCATAGGTAAAATAAATTTACACTTGAAAAAATCACATTTAAGCTACTGCTCGTTCACTATGCTGACTTTCCTGAGAAGAACGAGCAAGAAACCTAGGGATTGCTCTTTTCAAATAAACTTAAATGCTATGGAATGCACTTTGAATCAAAGTGTGGAATCTGGAGTCATGTCGTCTTTCCATACGTCTTTATCTAACACGTAGTCTTCAATTTGTAATATGACTTTTCAAACAAAATAGTTTTAATGTAGTTGCAAGACTATGCAACGTGTACTCAACAACCGTCTCCTGTCATACCTTGAAGACAATAACCTCCTCAGTGATCGCCAGTATGGATTCCGACGAGGGCGATCTACCGGGGATCTTCTTGTGTATGACATATGGAGCGAGGCTATAGAAAAACAAGGCGGAACACTTGCAGTGTCTTTGGACATTTCTAAAGCCTTTGACAGGGTCTGACACGCTAGCCTTTTAAGCAAACCTCCATGTTATGGGCTTCCCACTGACCTTTGCAATTGGATCTCGGATTTCTTGAGTGAACATTCCATTCGAGTGGTCTTAGAAGGCTACTCTTCCGAACACATGGCGATACAGGAGTTCCTCAGGGTTCCGTACTGTCTGCAACTCTCTTTCTGCTGCATATCAATGATATGTTAATTCCAGGTACCTTTGCGTATGCTGATGACAGCATAGTTGTAGATAGGTACTTGACCAATGCAAAGGTCAGAGGAGAGGAAATTCAGTCTTGTCGAGAGTCCATGGTTAGCCGTTTAGATTTGACGCTAAAGGCAGTCTCCGATTGGGGCGATGCCAATCTTGTCAAATTTATCGCTACCAAAAGGCAAGCGTGTCTATTCTCCACTAAACGGAGTCCCTTTGAGCTGACTCCGACTTTTCGTGATATATCCATACCAATAGCCGACCGTCTCCAGCTATTTGGAATGAACCTGTCGTCCAATCTGAACTTCGGCAGATACATTGAATCCATGGCCAAAACTGCAGCCAGGAAGCTTTCCATCCTTTCCAGGGTGAGGCATTTCTTCACACCGGGACAGTTGCTGCAGCTGTATCAAGTACAAGTCCGGTCGTGTATGGAGTACTGTTGCCACCTTTGGGATGGCTCTGCTACGTATCAACTGGCCACCTTGGTTTCAATTGTCAATTGACAAGCGTGTCAAGAGCCTTATAGGTGACTTGGAATTTGCCTTGAACACCGCCGTAAAGTTGCCTGCTTATCGGTATTTTACAGGATATATCACGGAGAGTGTGCGATGGAATTACACGATTTAATTCCGCCTTCCCCTTTCCATCATCGGGGGACTAGGCGTAGGCTTGGCTTCCACCCCTATGTTGTGGATATTCCAAAGATTCGCACGAAGCGTTACGCTTCCACATTTATATGGCGAACGGCTATGGGGTGGAATTCCCTGCCTGCAGATTTGTTCCCTGAACGTTATAACTTCGACCTTTTCAAGGCGAAGTGAATAGGCATTATCTAGGTGTGCATGCTCAATCGTCGACCTCAGCGTCACTTTCCATCAAGTGAGATGGAGGTCAAATGCACACTTACATTAGAATACAAAAAAGTAGTTTTTAAACTTAGGAAATTATAATTTTAATATATGATTCGGAATCTTATTGTAAAAACGCATACGGTTCCCCATAAAAGAGTCGTTTACCTTGGTTGAACGAAATCATGGTACCATGAGTTTGGACTTAGCTCTAAGGTTAATATTATGGATATCTTCTTTCCTATTGAAATTATGTATATTTTTACTGACATATAAAATATTTGAGTAAATGCAGTCATGATACCAGTCTCTTTAAACTTTTCTCTGAGAGAAACCCGAGAGCCTAAACGATACACAGAACGAATCGCTCTTTTTTGCAATACAAATATGGTTTGAATATCTGCCGCTTTACCCCACACGATAATCCCGTAGGACATTATACTATGGAAGTAACTAAAGTAAACTAGTCTAGCAGTACTAACATCGATAAGGTCACATGTTTTGCCGACTGCGTATGCAGCGGAGCTTAGTCTCGTAACATACGTACAAAAATGAAATACAGTCGAATAGAACCTCCTACTAAAAAACTTGTGGTTGGCCTATATATACATATACCTCACACCCTTTTTCCATCGGGTTAGGATTTCCTTGTAGATTCAAAGGCAAAATTAAATTTGTAAATGAATTTGCCCCAAATTAACTCCACCGATTGTTCATATCACATTAACGTCTTTGCAAAGAACACTCAGGTAAATAGCCACAATTGAGCAAAAACTTTAGTATAAAAATGAGGCCGTAACACGAAACCTTATGAGGTTTCTACTCGTAGCCGGAAACGAATTAACGATAATATTAAGGAAGTGCGCTTTATCTGAAATGTCTAAAGGTGTCGGTACCAACTTTCTATCATTTCGTCTGATTGTTTGGCGAGAAAGAAAGAGTAAGAGCGTTTGCGCGCTACGTCCAAAACGTTTCAGAGTCCTAACCTTCGAACCACGAAACCCAAATAGATACGGCCGTTTTCTCACTATATACCTATTACGAATCGGACGTAAAGTGCAGACGCTTGAACGGTATGTTCTACCGCCTTTCCAGCCGTGATCGTGGGTTCGAATCCGGGCACCTTTGAGTTTATATTCCAAATTTAATTAGACATTTAAATTATGCTTTTCGGTGAACGTGACAAAATTTGGTGAAGAAACCTGCACAAATTTTTCAAAGCAATTTAATCAAGTATGTGACGTTCAATCTGCATGGGAATTTGCAGCCCAGGCCCTCTCATTGTGAGGAGGCCTGTGTCCAGCAGTGGGACTATAATATAGGTAACTAGTTTATTTAATATTGCACGATACAATACTCGAATATTAAATAGTATTTTACTTCGTCTACTCTAAGGGTCGTATTCTAGAACTCTACTCAATGCTCAAGTCAGGATTTGAGTATGGTTATAAGCACTCGAAATCATACTCAAGTCCTTGCCATTAGGGTCGTATTTCCAGTGCTTAAAATCATACTCAAGTCTGCTCAAGTCCTGACTTGAGCATTGAGTAGAGTTCTGGAATACGACTCTTAGTGTATATTTACTAAGAGTAGACGAAGGTTACACGCGCGCGACTGCATCGATACAAACGCGCGTTTGCATCGATGTCGAAAGTCGCCATGTGT